GGCAGCGAGCGGGTGCAGAAGAGCCAGTCGCAGGGAGACCGCTTCAAGGAGATGACGGCCATTAACAGCTCCCTGTCCAACCTGGGCATCGTCATCTCGGCCCTGGCCAACAAGGTACTGGAGCGCCCCCCGCTGGCCGCCCCTCTCGCCCGCCCGCCCGCCCGCCCTCTCTCACGCGCTGCCTCCCCCCGCAGGACGCCTACGTCCCCTACCGCAACTCCAAGCTGACCTACCTGCTGCAGAACAGCCTGGGCGGCAACAGCAAGACGTGAGTCCGTCCTCCGCCAGACCGCCAACCCCCAGGGCCCCGCCAGAGACTACAGCTCCCAGGAGCCCCCGCGCCCGCGGCCTGCTGGGAACTGTAGTCCTCCTCCGTCCCTCGCCTCCGGCGCTAACCCGTCTCTCTCTCTCGCTCTCTCTCTCTCTCCCCGCTGGTCCAGGCTGATGTTCGTCAACGTGTCCCCAGAGCTGGACAGCTTCGGCGAGTCCCTGAACTCCCTGCGGTTCGCCAGCAAGGTGAGCCGGGTCACGAGGCTGCGCTGCCGGGCCGGAGCTCCGCCCCGCCCTGCTGGCGGCCTGCGTTAACGCCCCCCTCTTCCTCTTCCTCTCTCTGCTGCAGGTGAACGACTGCGTGATCGGCACGGCGTCGGCCAACAAGAAGATCTGACCTCCGCCCGCGCCGAGACAGCTGTACATACTGTAAATGAGACTGTTTTTAAATCGGGGCGCCGGCGCTGCGCCGGCCTCCTCTGTGAATACGGGACTATTTATTTCCGACTCTTCTTGTAATCGTCGCTGCCGGAGCCGGTGAAATAAAGCTCTTCCGCACGCGGCCGTGTTTTCTTCCTCTGGGCTCGGGAGAGAGGGGGGAGGTGCCGCCTGTCCTGTCCTGTCCTGTCCTGTCCTGGCCTGGCCTGGCCTGGCCTGTCCTGGCCTGCCCTGCGTCCTTCGGAAGCTCCTCCAGCCCTTTCCAAGCGAGCAGGCTGGGCTCGGGCTCCTGCTCGGCTGAGGTGACCGCGTCAGACCACGGCCAGGCACGGAGCTTGTATCTCCAGCCTGCAGCGGACCCCCGAGACACAGGCGGGGGTCTAACTACACCCCATCACGCACACAACTGTCTGCCACACAGGTGAGAGGCTAGACTTCATTTTGAGCTCTTGTTCCAAGAACAGAGCAGAACAGGAGGGTTTCGCCCAGACTGCAGCAGCGCCAGAGTCTCCGGGTGAAGGCACACGCTGGTCACGCTGAGGCGGCGAGGTGCCGAACCACACGCCCCCTGGAGAAGACGAGAAGCGCTCGAACAGACAAGGGAGCCAGGGTCCTCCTGGGAACATTTCTTTTCTAATTTTGTATTTGAACGACCAAAGGACAGCAGACGAGCGCGAGTACAGTTCCCGTATCGATAACAAGGGCGGGGGAGCGCGCTACAACACAAACACACTTCCTGAGAGACGCGTAACCAGTAGATCAAGATGAAGTCCGCACAGCTCTCGTGTTCTTACATTGCCAAAGAGTCTGCAAACGTATCTTCATGTCTGTTTTCAACTGTCCAAACACGGGACTCTTCCCAGAGTAATGTGCAAGCGTAACAAGGCGATAACAAAATATATCTTCATTTATTTATTACAGCCATAACTCAAAATATCCTTTCCTTGGAGTCTGATACAAACTTTACATTCATCTGTAGTTTCGAAGGGACTACTGATACAATTCCTTAAGAGAGTCAATACGTCCCTACGGCTCGCATCGATTGCAGTGAAATATTATCTGTTCACAAAGCCGGTGTAATTGTATATTTCACCATCAACATTGATTAATTGTTTAATCCTGATTATACCACTTTTGACCCATTTTTTTATTTTTAAAATGTTTTATTTTTAAACCTTTATATCTGTTGTTCCAGATGGTACAGTATATCTATGAGTGTCTCTGTCGCTGTTCCACGCCGCTCTTGTCAATAAAGTTCTGTGAGTTTGAACCTGGGAGACACGGGTAAAAGGGGAGGGACCTATCGGGATCGGGACTCCGATTGGTTGATAGGCAGTTCCGGGGCCGCGGTGGCAGCCAATTGGGCTGCAGGGTCTCAGGTGCGCTTGTGATCACGCAAGGCGGCGGTGGAGTTTGTAGGAGTTTTATTCGATAAACGTTTTTGATTTTTTACTTATTTGGACTTGTGCACTCGTTTCCGGATATCTTTAACGGTAAGATGCTATCCGCAACGTTTTCCTCAGGAACGGGTGAAGGTTTATTCCCGTACTGAAAGAAACTGCTGCAGGTGAGTCCAACGCCATGTTTTCATTCTTCTTATGGAGACGTTTGTGTGAGACCTGCAGGGACCGCATCTCGCTGCTGTGTCAGACCTGCAGGTGCTGTCTCTCTTGTGCTGTGCGAGACCTGCAGGTGCTGTATCTCTCCTCTGCTGTGTGAGACCTGCAGGTGCTGTCTCTCCTCTGCGGTGTGAGACCGCAGCTACCACAGTAATTTCCCTATAGTTATTGCAGATTGAGTAGTGGCGGTGGTCTGTACTGAATACATTCGTGAGACCGCTTTGAAACATTGCAAATAACCTTGAAAAAAACCTTTATAAACATGAGTAATAATTACTTGTACAGTGTCGTGATTTCCACATTAGATTTAGATCTAAAAATAGAGCCATACGGTGTCGCTGCCATAATTTCATTATTTATATATCAGAATCCGGACCAGGTCTCGTGC